GGGAACCGGCAGAAGACAATAATAGTTATCAAAAGCTTCCTTTATTAAATTAAAATCCAAACACTTTACATCTCATGGCCATGAGACATTTATTACACTGCACGAATATGACAACTACTCAAATGCTTACTATGAAATTTGAGGTGAATTTGGCAGTAAAGACAAAAAGTCAAATACTTTTAATCAGTGAAATCGGTAGAAGGAATAACATTAAATTCAGATTTTACCTAAATTGCAAACCAAACATATTCATGTACAAATAACATGTATGAGAAATTTAATTATAAATTTGTCTTGCAATAAATTTAAAAGAACATGGTTACGCTCTAAATTTTTAGGCTCTCGTCCAACAAACCGAGGCACAACCACTCAATCGAATCGCCACGCTCCGACATGACCCATACTAACCTGTGAAGAGTAGGGGAAAATGGTGAGTATATGAGAATACTCAGTAGGACATAAAAATATGGTGCAATCCCGAATAAAATTTTTAAATCATCTGTTAAGAAAAATCATACCGTCATCATATCTTTAGAATTCGGTAAGAGCTCATATCATTTGTACCGGAATGGCCATATCATCATATCATAGAATATCATATCACATCTTTAACCCATAAGTATAAAATTTATCAACATGAAAGAAAAATAATTTAAACGGGATAAATCAATTGCACCTCGTTTCCTACCTTGTTAACTTGTTTTAATTTTGGAAGACAAAACAAAAATCACGTTCCAACAATTCCTTTGTCTCTGCTTTTGTGCTATGCATGTATATATATATTTTTTGTGTCTATTCTATCATGTGATGTAACTATATACATAGGCAATTATACAAGAGTTGGTACATTGTGGGGAAACATGTGGGATGAGGGTGTAGAAAATGGTAAGTTGCATGCGCACGTCTCTATCATGTAAGGTGACATATCTCAACCAACCTTTTTATTGGACACTTGGCAAGTTAGAAGATTTTGCACCATGATATAAGATTAACAAAATAAAACAAATTGATAATTCCTCAACAACCAAACCACACATGGCTTCTTTTTAAAAAAAAAGTCAATCACCAACCTACTAAAAATTCTTTCTCTACACATGTTAATCGTGAAAATTTTCTGAATTCATTAAATAATTAACTAAAATATAATATAAAGCCATATCTTTCGACCTCGATAACTTGGATTTTGCTTATCTAAATTAACTTTTTCTCGAGCCTAAAATGCATGATTAATTACGATCTATTCAGCGAGTCCAATATACATATACATACCATTGCTCTGTCAATATCTAACTATTTGACACAATAAAATTGAAATTTACTATATATATCACGTTAGTCTCTAACTTTTCAAAATATTAAAAATAAAGCATATAAAATAATTAATTCTATATAAAAAAGTTTCGGGACTTTACAGTTGATTAGGCTGTTGATTGGTACTAGATAATTGTCCTTGCAACTGTAGCATCAACATGGATAAAATTTGTTGACACTGACTTGGATTAATTGTGAGATGTGAAAAAGAATTCATCACATGTGAACTATTACAATACGATGTCTGTCCCACAGCACTAGCAACTGGAGTGATTCCTTTACTAAGCCAGTGGCCAGGAAGATACCCTATCAACTTGTAGCATTTTCCTTTTTGATGTCCAACTATACCACAGTAACTACACATAGGCCTTTCTCTTTTCTGGAATTGATTTAGTGACATAGTTCTCTAAGTGCCAAAAGGTTTTTGCACTACTTTGCTAGCAAAGGCTGCAACATCAAAATTCTGTTGTTTCTTAATAACCACCTCTTTCTGCCTCTCGTCTTGTATAATCAATGCAAAAACTTTATTCAATGAGAGTAAAGGATCCATTAGAAGGATCTGACTTCTGACACCAGAGAATTGTTCGCCTAGCCCCATGAGGAACTACATAACCTGATCTTCACACTTGTAATTAGTGTTGCTAACACTTGGTCTGTAATTATCCAATTCTTCCCAAAGTCCTTTGAACCGAATGAAGTAAGAATTAACTGAGCTATTTGCTTGTGAGATCGAAGCAATTAGCTTCTTTAGTTCATAGATTCGAGGACCATTAGCTTGACTATAACGATCTCGAAACTCGATCCAGATTTCCCTTGCAGAATCCTTGTGCACAACACTTGGATAAAGATCCTTTGGAATGGAATTTATGATCCAAGAGGAAACCACATGATTGCACCTTCTCCAAGCACCGTAAAGAAGATCATCCTGCGACGGTTAACAATTGATCCATCAATGAATGCTTCCTTGTTTTTGACACTAAGTGCCATAGTAGCTGCACGACTCCATGTGGCATAGTTTTCTTCCGTGAGCATAACTGAGATGAGTTGCATCCCTGTGTTATCGCCATAGTGAAGATAATAAGGATTATTCGGATCACTTATCAATTGATTAACTATCGAATTTACATTTCCAGCAACAACTTCTCCAGTTGATGACTCGATGGGTGAATTGATGTGATTGAACTGATTTTGAATCTTCGATTGAACGTCAGAATCCGCCATTGCAGAGAAGCTTTATGCTCTGATACCATGTAAAGTTGCAAGGAAAGTAGAGGAAGGAAATGGCGGGAAAAGAAGTTTTTGTTATTCAGTTGAAAGAATGAATCATTCTATCTGATAACTGTGCTGCACATGCATTTATATACAGAGGCTAACAATTCCTAACTAAAAGAATCAAAATGCAATTACATAAATAGCCCTATACTAATATGGTTTAGTACTTGTACAAGTTGATTCTTGAAGTGTTATTAGATTGATCATATCTTGCTGCTTGCAGTGGCTATGGAATTGCTGCTCAGGGATTGACAGCCATTGTGAGGGCTCATGATGGCCGTGGTCCAAAGACGATGCTTACAAATTGTGTTCTCAAGACACTCGATCTTTCTTCTCCAGATGAAATAATAGGGTATCTCCCTGTACAGATTTTTGAATATTATGCTTATTTCTATGTGAGTGCTGATAAAGTATTAGTTCACAAAAAACTAAGCTGTCAGGGTGGTTTCTTATTGTCAGTTGAGTGAGATTGCTCAAGTTTTTTCTCCACTGTTTCTGTGAGTGAGTGATCATATATCTAGCATATTTTTGATGGATAGAGCATGCTACTTTTACGGAAAAAAGGAAGATATTAGACCTCTCATCCAGCATTGGGAACTCTGCACATTTATCACTTTACTAGTCAAAACAATTTGTAGAAAAGATTTTTGGGCAGTGAAGCAGGATATATGTGGTTCTCTTCTGCATTCCTTTCACATGGCTAGTTTAGCATTTATGTGAAATTCAAGTTCTACTTCAGTTTGTCAATCTTTTGAATACCCAAGTAATGATAGATTTTATGTCCCGGAAGATGCAACTTTTTGTTTTGTGTAATTGCTGAAAATAGTAGTGTGGACCTCTAGAAACTGGGTACATATCAATCTCTTGTAAGCGATCTTCTACTAAGAAACTTCCATACATTTAACTCCAATATCAACAATGCTCATATTTGATTCTATTTGTTTTGAAGTTTGACACCATAATCAGGACAGTTAGAAGCTGTTATGAAATTATTTATGTTAAGGACTCTCATCTTATTGTAACAGTAATTAATAAAATATGTCACTGAAAATGCAGTAAAGTTAAATGCAAATATCTTAGTATAAAATTTATTGAAAATTGATTCGATGATGAAATGAAATTCTTTCAGCACTAATATACAAAAGAATGTAGTGTATCTGACTTCATAATCGGTTTTATTTTACTTGCTTATTGCAATTTAGGTGGACCTATGCAGATTCATCTTGGGCAAGAATTGCAGCACTTGTTCCTGCAGTGGTATCTTGTGCAGAAGCTGGTGATCAAATTGCCAATGATATCTTGAATAATGCTGTTCAAGAATTGGCTATGAGTGTGAAAGCTGTAGTTCAACGACTACAGTTGGCCGGAGAAGGTTAAATTTGTTTAACTGTTCATGAATTGAAAAAGTGATATATGGGGGTGGCACTGGTGGATCTTATTAACTGTTCACTTCAATTTTCAATTGCAAAAATCTTGAAATGTTCCGCACTTAATTCTATCTTGTATGCCTTCGACATCCATGCTTATATGATATATTTGACCTAATCAATAAAGTCTACTATCATTTGATACCAGACGTTTATGATTCTTTTTTAAATTGAAAGTGTGGGCATACTCATTATCTGTTCAAATATAGGAATCCAATCCAACGACCTTTTCATAAAAAACTCACTATTATTGCAGATGGAAATGGTTCTTTCCCTGTTGTGATGGTTGGTGGAGTCCTTGAAGCTAACAAGATATGGGATATTGGGAAAGAAGTTATTAATTCTATTTTGAAGACCTACCCAGGTGCTTCTCCTATAAGACCGAAGGTTAGCATTCTTTATTTATTTTTTTGTAGTAACTGAAAATTGTGGATGTAAGTACGTCGTGTGTTTGAAGAATCAGGGATATAGTGACCTTTAAAATGATGAAGCACAGTATCTGAATTTTCGATGACTTTGAAAAAGACTATAAGTTAAAATGATTCCGTAGGTGGAGCCTGCCGTTGGAGCTGCTCTGTTTGCCTGGAATTCCCTGATGAAAGAAGCAAAAGCAAATGGCCACCAATAACCTGAAATGTAAAGATGTCAACTGTACAGCTAAAGGAGATCGCTTGGTTATGCTGATTTGTCATCGCTGAAGTGGATATTATGTAGCTAATTTTACCTCAACAGTCAATTGTACATGTGCAATCTTTAGAATGATCAGTATGCCTCTACTTGCTGCTATTGCTGGCCTAGTCATTATTTACTGTTATGGCATGTTAAATACAAGGAGAAGGGTGAAAGTTAACATGCACAATTATATTTATGAGAACATACATTTTCGAATGTGCTGAATGCTCGTGTTTTAGCTAATCTAATTGTAAAGGCTTCGATGTTCATACCTCATACTAAACAGCATGAGAAAAGAAAGAGGAACGAAAACTTTGTTTCTCGTTTTCTTCTTCTTTCATATGTTCTGATCCCGAGTCATGAAGAACAGTTAAAACTGAGCGCTCTATAGTCTAAAATTTGTCTTCAATAAATTCTATGAACCATGCCACCTGTACAGACAGGTTTGTTAGATGGCTCAGTCCATGAACACTGCTCTTGTACAGTCTACCGTACAAGGGGCTTATACCAAATTCTTTCTATAAACCAATTGAAAATAAATCTACGACTCAAATTATTTCAACCTTATCGTAAATAGAAACAAAATTCTATCATAATAGTTTCTGAATTGTTCAAACAAGAAATAAAATGGTTCACCCAATTTATGAAGTTAATCATAATAATCCTAATGGAAATCTCACAGGGCAAGAATTTTTCAAGTAACACCAAATACTCCACCAAGGGAGCTTTATGTTGAACAAAAGCAACATGAAAATATTCACCTAATCATGGCAGCCAGCTGACTCGACTCATCGGCTTAAAGGGCGCGTAGGCATAATTCATTGCTACACATCAGAGAGTAGCTGGCTCTTTGAACTCAATGCAGTAGCCATAGCCATAGCCAAAGCCTGATTCTTTCTTTGTGCTCTGAATCTTCAAAGCCATGGCTTTTCATGAGGCTCACCTGATCACATCCTTGATATTCACCCCTTAGTTTCTGATTCCATTCAGTACTTCGACTCGGCTCAAGCCAATCGTCCGAAGCTTCCATCTTTCCTTATGACGAGTCGTTTGGCGGCGCACTTGCCATTCTTGTATGCTTATAGCAAAAATCTGCATGGAAAGGCTTGATATTGAGTGGAACCATCTGCAAAATTTCAAAGAAATTTAAACATGTATGGCGGGGGCGG